TGGACAAAGCTGGCAGCGGGGTTTGTTGCAAGGGAAAGTACCAGGGTTGGTATTAGTGTGGTATGTCCTGTGGTTGTTGGTAAGAATTATCTTAAGGTTAGGTGGTTGTCTATAGGAGACTATGGGTCTGTCTCCCAGAGCTTCTTGGAGTTTAGTGTCCTGTTCCAGTATAGGCTGTAATTTATTGATAATGTGTTGGACAGGTTTAAGTTGGGAGCTGTAGGTGATGACAAGTGGTGTTCTATTGTTGGTTTTCTTGGGTCTGTCTTGTAGTAGATGGTTTCTAGGTATTTGTTTGGCTCTTTCAGTTTGCTTTTTTATTTCTCCGGGTGGGTAGTTGAGGTTTATAAATGCTTGGTAGAGATCCTGAAGTTTCTGGTCTCTGTCAGTGGGATTAGAGCAGATGTGGTTGTATTGAAGGGCTTGGCTATAGATGATAGATCGTATGGTGTGTGCTGGATGGGAGCTGGAAGCATGTAGGTAACTGTATGGGTCAGTGGGTTTTCTGTAGAGGGTGGTGTCTTGGTCAAGGGGTATTGGCCAGGGAGGGGATGGAAGCATTTCTAGATATGGGGGTGGGGGATTCGATGAACTTTTGGAGTGGACAGAGAAGGTCTTAGCCAGGGAAGGTTACATCCCTCGGGAAGCTGGTGGTGGCAGATCCTAGGGTGGAAAGGACTCGAACCCTCCGCCAGCTTCCTGCTTAGTCACCACCAGTTTCTCCAGCCCTGTGTTCCAAGGGTGCCATCTCTGTCCCTTGGCCCCTTTGTTCTTCCTGCCTTCCAAAGGAGCCAGCTCCATCCTTCGGGAAGCTGGTGGTGGCAGACTCCTGGGTGGGCAGGAACCCTTAGGCAGGGAAGGTTACATGCCTCCCTGGCTGGGGAGGGGGCTGGGGTCTCTACCCATTCCTCACTATGGAAGATGATGGCTGTTGTCTCTTCAAACCCAGCAAAGACAACCTATTCCCAGAGCTACTTTTCCATTAGGGCTAGGGAAACAGGCCCAGGGATGGGAGGGGAGGAGCTGATTTCCAGCTAGTGCTCTGCATTGCAAATGTGATGTTTTTCAGTCTGCCGCTCCCTGGGTATAGCTCACAGCTTGCGACTGCAGAGTCATTTTAAGAGCTGTTCTGCTCACTTTTAAAAAAGTGAGCTGCAAAAACAAGGAAATAGTCTTGTGCCCTTCTTATGCTGCTCTAGGATGGAAAATCAAGCCCAAAAGAGTTTATTTTAGTGAAATCAAAACAAGTTTTTACAGTAGAAAATGATCCCATGTGAAAGAGGAATTCTCGGCAAACGTCCCCATTGATGGGAACTTCATACTACCCCGTAGTCAGCTGAATCAGAGCTAGCGTGGGTGAGTATACACGAGGCTTTCTACATACTGAGTTAAACTTGGGGAGCTTGTTAATTCCTGTCAGATTGATGGGCTAGCTCTTGGAAGGGTTACTGCTGTTACTGAGACTAAAACTTGAATGCCTATTTAAGGCCCAATGCCTAATTAACACTCTCAGAAAGGGAAGCCTGCATTAGGGCTCCCAGTCCCTTCCATTAACGTGTGAATCTGCCCAATGAATCTCCAAGACCCTCCAGCAAAAACGGAGACCACCAGATGTGCCAGTCCTAATATTTATAGTGTGGAAAAACACTTTTCAGGGACTAACAGTGTTGGAATAAGCCTCGAGTAATCTGGTACAAAAATGAGGGCTGGTTTCTTGCTGAGCCTGGCGCTCTTTGCAAAGACGACAGCTAATTGGAAAGGAGCGTTGGCTACCCTGCAAATTGGCTTTCTTCATTTACCGCTCTTGTCAGTTTGTCAGGAAACATCAGCGTCCCTTTCATCAGCGAGTTTGCCTAGTATTTCACAAGCTCGTTAGCAAGAATGGAACTGTTGAAAATCCAGCAACTAGTGTTCAGGGAAAAATAAACATCTGGATCCTAATGAAACTCAAAGTAATTAACAGCTGCACATGCAGCCATCTGAAGGCTGTGGTACTGTCTGTGGCAGGGCGATGCTCCATCTCTCAGCAGAGCCTTTGTATTTTGTTTGTTCTCTCTTTTATGTCATTTTCTTTTCAGTGCCATAATCCTAATGCTCTGCATTTATAATCACCACACACACACGCGTGCGCGCCCCCCTCAAGAGCTAACAAGGATTCTCCCTTCACAGCTAGAAAAGTCAGGCGTAGGTAACTGAACACCACTGAAAAGTGGGTCACAACGTCTGAAGCGCCTATTGATTGCAAATGACTCCACACCTCTGACAAATCAGGCCACGATAAGAGGCAGCTCAGTGTAAATCAGTGGCAGAGCTGGGATTAGAATTTACTTCTTCCTGGCTCTTAACCTTGCACTCTGCTTGCTAAGTCACAGCTCACTGACACGGCAGGAGGGGGGTTACGTTGAATCTCAGGCTGCTCTTTTCCCTGTTTTTAAATACATCCTTAACTCCTGTCAGAAACCATGAGTGATACTGGCAGAGCAGGTGCCAGCTCTTGCCAGACTTACTGAGTCCTGATACCCAGGTCGGATGACCGATTTGCACATCAGGACCGCTACGGACTTCTATCAGAGTTTCCCTCAGGATAGCCGGACCGTCTCGCCCGTTACGTTGGGGAGGTGGAGCATGAGCGTGAGTCCTGATGTATGCATGCTGGAAATCAGCCCGTTTCACCTGTGTTAGTCTGGCTCAGATGGGGATTGGCTGTGTGACTGTGTATTCAGACGTTGGTAGGCTTGTACGGTGCTGTGTGCATTAATCTCACTTATAATATCATCTCGTGCTATGAGGCAGGGGGTTTTCAAAGTTGGGTGGGGCAGGCTGTGAGACGCTTTGTTTGTCCAGCCACCCATAGGCACGGAGCCTCGCCGCACCCTGCCCCCCCCCATTGGCTGGGTTTTCCCTTTCCCAGCCAAGGGGAGCCTCAGGAAGCGGCATAGGCCGGGCTGCTGCTTCCCACAGCTCCCCTTGGCTGGAAGCAGCAAACCACAGCCAATGGGAGCTGCAGGGCTCCGTGCCTATGGATGCTTAGATAAATAAAGCATCTCGCAGCCTGCCAGCAGCTTACCTGGGTGAGCCCATTACCCAACTTTGAAACCCCCCTGCTATAAGGTAATATTTAAGTTTCTGCTTTGTAACTATAAAAAATGTTTGCTCTGAAATTGTGAACCCAGTCAGCAGGTATTGAAGGCCTATCAACTGAACGGGCCAGTGTTAATTGCTCCTTCGTGCTTACGAAGCGTCTGTGTGCAAAAGGCAAATTCAAATAGCTGCCACAGAAAATTTTCCTTTCTCTTTTTGCTGTTCTGAGTCTTACAGGGCTGGAGCTACAAGATCTCTAGTCAACCTGGCTTAGCCCCAAAAGACATGCAAAGATGACAGATTAATACAACTCTCTCATAGAGTAATTCATTTGTGTGCATCTATATGTTTGCATGCTTTATTCTTGTAATAACTCATGTCTTAGGACAAAGCATTAGTTTATTACAGCACTGGCTACGGGTATAGTCTTTGGTTTGAGATCTGAGTGACTGGTCCTTTGGGCCTGGGAGTAACCTATATTGTGATCTTTGCCATAGAGCAACTGCCTGTTACTAATGCCAACTTGCCTGGGTTGCAAAATAGCTTGGCAAACAGAAGGGCTGTGTCTGGTGCGATCTTGCGCAAAAGCGGCCGTTTTTGCGCCAAAACTTGCTGCCTGTCTACACTGGCCACGAGTTCTTGTGCAAGAACACTGATGTTCCAATGTATGAAATCAGAGCTGCTTGCGCAAGAACTCTGATGTTCCCACTCAGGAATAAGCCCTCTTGCGCAACTATTCTTGCACAGGAGGCCAGTGTAGACAGGCAACATGAATTTCTTGCACAAGAAAGCCCTATGGTTAAAATGGCCATCGGAGCGTTCTTGCGCAAGAGAGCGTCTACACTGGCACGGATGCTCTTGCGCAAAAGCACATGGCAGTGTAGACACTCTCTTCTGGAAGAGTTTTTGCACAAGAGCATGCCAGTGTAGATGTAGCCAAGGAGTTTGTCTGTGACTCCAGGGTAAGACTGTTAAAGTGCTTTAGGAGTTCACACTTGGTGGGTTTAAAGCAATTGTAATTGTAAAGCATCTCACCAATGAGGGCTCTCTGCCCTGAAGTGGGCTCTCTCTCATGAGCCAGGCATGCTCCTGTGACCAAGCTCTGTTGGGGAATCTGATTGGATGAGCAGATAGTTCCACAGCGTGGCTAAGAATCTGCCATGGAGACCTGCCTCAGTGCAATGAGGCTGGAGGGCCACAGTGTAGCTCTGTCCCTTTTGAGGGAGGGTAGCATGTGCCCTGCTTCGGACTTAGCTAGTTTCATGCCTGATGCAGCAGGGGCCCTGACTATGCTTGTCAGGGAAGCAAGGAATGCTCTGGTGGTGCTTGGCCAGAATGGAGGAATCTAGATTGAAATATTTTCTCTTGTGCTCTTTGCTTTGGTGTCTAACAGCAGAACCTGCGCTTTGAAGTATTCTCAGCGATTGCCCTGGCCCGTCTATATTAATCTCCCCTCAGGTCGTGCTGCAGCAGTGCCAAGAGAGGGTTCTGACCTGTTAGTATTTACACTCTAACCGCCTTCCCTGCCCAGTAGATCTGTTTGCCACAATGAGGGCAAGTGCACACCAATGTTTATCCTACTGAATGCTGGAGTAGCCCTCAGAGCAAAGCAGGAGATCATTAAAGATTCCTCGCAGTTGACTCCCCAGCAGGTTATACATGTGACAGGCTCATGCCTTGCTTGGAAGTATCAGGCATTGGCTAGTGGAAGAGCCAGGCTAATGGACCATTGCTCTGGCCCCTTCCCAATCTGTAACCATAGACCCAATTTTTATTCCCTCGTATCAAGAATTGCATTAGGCCACGGGTACTAGACTCCATGGACAATTCTGCCCAGGACCGGCGCGTGCTGTTTGGCTGTTAAAAGTGCAGACTTTTCCCCACCTGCATGAAAAAAGTGCAAAACACAGGAATGTAGCAAGAAATCAAACTTTAATGAGCTATACAAAAAAAAAAAAAATCACACAAGGTCCTCATCTGTGCTCCGGGAATTAGCTCCACCCTGCCTCCAGCAGGAACCATCATTAGCAGAAGACGTGCATAGCTTTGCGGAAGAATTTCCTGAACTCTGTGTTGAAGATGGTGTAGATGATGGGGTTGAGGGCACTGTTCACGTAGCCCAGCCATGTGACAATGCTGGTGACCTGGCTGGGGACTGTGCAGGATTTGCAGAGGGCTCTTGTTATGTGTACTACGAAGAAAGGTGTCCAACAGAAAAGAAAAGCACCTGTGAGAGAGAACACAGCACAGTCAGCCACGCTGCACACCAGTACGAGGGGGAGGGTCCTGGCATGGACGGTGGGTGAAGCTGCTGTGTGGGGAGGCAAATTCCCCAGCTTGTGACCCCACCCATGCTCTGCCCAGGCCCTGCCCTCTCCACTATCTTCCTCTTCTCTCTGCTCACCCCTTCCAGTCAAATCCCAGAACCCAATCTAGCAAATGACATGGGGGAGGGGGGGATTTGTTCTAACGTTAATGGCATCTATTTGCCTCTGCATGCTGCCTTGTGAAGACTGGACAAGCAGAAGGTACATAATTAAAAGGACTAAATTTGAGAATAAAAAAATGTCAATCACAGGGCTGGGTTTTTTTGATATAGCCTGAAGTTAGAGATTTAGCTGCAAAAACTCTGTAGTAAGGTTGTCAGTTGTCGTGGTACATACAATATTAATTATTAGGCAATCCATGATACATATGGGTTACGTCTACACTGTGCATTGTTGTGAAAGAAGATATGCAAATGATGCGGGACAATGACTATCGCCACACCTCATTTGCATACCTAATGAGACGCCATTTTGTGGAAGGGGATTTTGTGCAAGAAGGAGCTGTCTACACTGATCCTTCTTGCACAAAAAACCCACTCTTGGGCGCCGTTCTTTCTAAAAATAAGCAGCAGAACGGCTCCTGCGCAAGAGGGGTTTTTTGCGCAAGGAGCAGTGTAGACAGCGCCTTCTTGCGCAAAAGCCTCTTCTGCAAAATGGCGTCTCATTAGGTATGCAAATGAGGCGTGGCAATATTCATCGCCGCGCATCATTTGCATAGCTTTTTGTGCAACAAAATGCAGTGTAGCCGTAGCCCTTCTGTTTTACATTTTTGTCAGTATTTTTAAGTTGAATTCGTAAAGCGATCATTCCAGATCACTGCCTATTTAAACTCACAGAAACAAAGGCATTTTAAATTATCAGTCAGCGTGACTGAGTGTGGTTATAACAAAGTTTGTTTTTAGAAAAGGGCAACACTAAGTTATCGTGATTTTTCATAAAACATTTTTATGAAAGTTTGCTATGTTAAAATATGGGTCTAAAGCCTGTAGGCATAACAAAGGATTTCATAGCTTAGTAAGGTACTGATTTTGGTGGAGGGTTCTCTTAAAACTAGTTCATCAACTAAATGGAAGTAAAAGGGAAATTCGTTTGCCCAGCTATCTAGAAGAAAAAAGCCCTTTAAGGGCTCTCACCAGCAGGGGGTAAAATGGGAGTAGGGCTGGATAGAACGGACAATAAGGCCTGGACTGGTTTGTAGGGTTGCTAGGTGTCCAGTATTGACCTGGACAGTCTAGTATTTTTGCCTCCCGTCCTGTAAAAAAAATTCAGAAAATACCGGACACCTAAAATGTCCGGTACTTTCTGATTTTTTTTCCCGGCCAGGATGCAAAAATCCCAGGATATGAAAATCCTGGTTACACAGGGCAGCTATCCGGCCTGGCACAGGGAGACAAGATGGTGTACAGCCACCCGCAGCCTGTGAGGGCCAAAAAGCCTCAAAAACATTTATTAAAGGGGCCATGCTGTTTTTTTAATTTTTTTTTTTTCTCAACAGAATTTTTTCCCCAGTGTTTTTTTGTTTTGGTTTGGTTTTTTGGAAGAGGAGGGGGGATGTTCAGTATTTTTGGTTAAACCATCTGGCAGCCCTATGTGGGCTGCTCTGGCCAGACCAGGCTGAGCCTGCCACAAGTGGGGGCCCCTTGGCCCCCGAGATAGGGTTACCAGGTGTCCAGTATTTGCGCGCTTTGTCCAGTAAAAAACATCAGAGAATACCGGACCATGTCCAGTATTCTCTGATTTTTCCGGCTGCACACCGGACGCAAGCCTGGTGTGGGTGGGGGGGAGCGGCTGGAAGGCGGGCCCATGATTGGCACTAGGAGCCTGTGATTGCACAGGCACAATCACAGGCTCCCAGCGCTGATGGCTGCGCTGCCCCCCAGCCTGGGAGTCACAGCTAGGAGGCGGGGGCTGCGATCGCTGCTCTGGGCGCTTCAGAAGCCTAGCCGGGGCAGGAGGAGTGGCTGGGACTCCCAGCCACTCCCTTCGCCCCCTCAAGGCTTCTGTGCAATCACAGGCTCCCAGTGCCGATCTTGGCACCGCCTCCCAGCTGGCTCAATTGCGGCTCTGAAATACTGTGTGGCCAGTATTTTTTGGGAGTCCATCTGGCAACCCTACCCCCAGAGGGTTGCAAGTGTCTGGTATTGAAACAGGCAGCACAGTATTTGCACCTTCCATCTGATAAAAAATTCAGAAAATACTGGACATCTAAAACGTCTGGTATTTTCAGTTCTTCCTGAGGCCTAGCTCAGGCACCTGACAGAAGGCCACCTGGGACATGCGGTGGAGGAGGAAGTGGGGAGCGGCTTGGGAATTAAAGGGGCTGTGACTGCATTTCGGCCCTGGTCCTTTGCCCGCCCCCCCACCCCCCCAACACTTTCTGTGGGTTTTTTTGGTTTTTTTTGGTGGGGGTTGGTATTTTTTGTGAAACCATCTGGCAACCCTAGCCCCCCCACACTGTACATAGATACATCCCCGCAGTCACTGTGGTAACCAGTGGCAAACCTGTATGTTGCAAAATGTCTCATGGGCCACACACAGACTCTAATGGGTCTTACAGCCTGTAGGCCGCAGGCTGCCCACCAGTGGCCTAGAAGGTCCCCATGCTCTCCTAGTGCGCTTGAATCAGCGAGCAAGTAACAATAGTGATGCCTTGAGCATGCAGGACAGAACAGAGGTGCGGGGGAGGGCGGGAGAACCCCCCTGTCATTGTGGCTCTTTACCACCTCCCTGATTGGGGGTGGGGGCGCAATGCTGTTGCATTTAGGGCTCAAATGCTTGCTGTTGGGGGTGCATGGATTAAAGGGTGTTCATGGCATTGCAGGAAAACTACTTCAAAGTCATGCAAGGAGCAGAGGTATCTCAGAAGGGCTTAGTCTTTAATAAGCTGACTGATCTCACCATCTAGATCAGGGTGGGGAACCTAAGGCCAGGAGCAGACGCAGTCCCCAGCTTGCCTGGGTCTGGCTCCCGGGGCTCAGGGCTCCTCACCTCTCCCCATCAGTGGGGAGCCCCAGCTTGCTCTGCTTCCCCTGCCCAACTGATTTTTCTGTGGGTCAGCGTCCCCCCCCAACCCAAAAAAGGTTCCTCACCCATGAGCTAGCCCCACAGGGACATGCACACAACCATGCTATGGCCTCCACCTGCTTCTTGCACCCTGGCATTGTGCCTTTGTGACCAGACACGAGGCTGAGCTGTAAGGTGCAGTCTATATACCAAGATGTGCAATAATTTTTTTTTGGGGGGGGGGGGGGCACACAAAAAATCTGGAACATGGTCAAGGGTCACATGCCTCCATGATAGTAATGGACGAGGTGCATGGTCTGGGACGGAGGTTGGGTACACACGGGAGCTCGTAGTATGGAACAGGGTACAGGAGAGAGTATGGGTGAACAGGGCAATTGTACCAGCGGCAGGCTCTGGCAGGGAGGCTTACCTGGGTGACTTCTGGCCAGTAGCCCAGCACATTTCTCAGGCACGCTCCCAGCCTGACTGGCCATGGCAGGGGCCATGTGGACCTGTGAATAGCTGCGAGCCTGAGGGGAGGGGGAGCGGTGCTTCGTGCACTGCCTGTGCTTCAAATAGGCAGCTCCCATTGGCCAGAAACTGGCCAATGGGATTGTGCTAACGGCAGGGACAGCACACACAGCCTTTCCCACCCCCTTCCCTGAGCTTGTAACTATTAAAAACAGCCCCATCCCTGCTTTTCTGAGCAACAGGAGGGAGAGGGGCGGGGTAGGTCAGGGCAGGTAGGGAGCCTGCCTGAGGTCCCCTCTGCGTCCATGGGCCACATCTAGCCCATGGGCTGTATTTTGCCCAGCCCTAATCTACACTAGTGAGCTTATAGCAGCACAGCTGTACTGATGCCCCTGCACCACTGCATGATTGTGTAGCTGCTCTCCCCATGGCCACATATGCCTGTGAAACTTGTCGAGGGGGGGGGGGGGACTTCACAGCACTAAGCAACTTAAGTTTTACTGACTTAAGTGGTGGTGCAGACATAGCCTAAGGGGTGGACTAAGTTGTCCTCCTACATCACACCAATCTCCGCCTTTACAGACAGTGCATGGAGTGCTCTTACACCGAACAGGTCTCCTGCAGTGTGTGGCAAACAGGCCTGGCACTGATGCCCACGTGTTTTAGGCTTCAAGTGACAGAAAAGCCTCTCAGCAGACAAATCATGGCACAAAAGGCCTTTGAGTCATTAGCGTGTTGGGATCTACAAATGTTATGGCCCAACAGGAAAGATGATTACGACCAGCTCTTGCCTAGCACACGCTCTCTGCATCACCTCCTGGCTCCTGCAGCAGTTTGTGGCTGAGCTACAGCAAAGCTTTTAGCCCACAAACCAATTCTGATTTAAAGACCCCACACCACATCCATGCTCCTAAACAGTAAAAAGTTGCATCTTAGTTTCCAGTTTGAATTATTCTGGCTTCCAACAAGGGGCTCTCCCTGTCCTTAAGCATAGTGAGATGCTGTGCCAGAGAAGCACTGGGCTGTTGAATGAACTCCTGCAAGAAAAGGGTAAAAGACACAAACACCAGGTCACCTGCGGATGAACACTTTACACAAAGCGATCCCTCAGCTTCAAGGGAAACCTGCATAACCATTTCCAAAGTCAAGTCTGGGTGTTTAAATTCATCACTCTGTTACGGCAGGTCTACATGCAGGTGCTACAGCATAAGCTATGGGGCAGCGGTGCCAGCACAAACTTTTAAATGAAAATGCTCCTGTTGGCATATTGAATCTACCCACACTGCGAGGTAACAGCTGCATGCAGGTGGATTAGGGGGGGGGGGGGGATGAAACAGGATTTTTCACACCCCTGACTGGCATAGTTATATAAATACAAAAATGTAGGCCCGGCTTTGCCCCTCAAACTCATGGCCTAAATAAACACACCAGATTTATGGCTTATTACAAGCTGTAACTCACTAACCCCCTTTTTGTCCTGACTGTTGAGCTGTTAACAGGCGACTCTACCCCAAATGGCCCCTTACAATGTGTGCCCCTAGGTTAGCTATACCAGCTTCCCCCTTGCATTTTGCTGTGACGCTGGCAGTTGCTTTCTCAGACCTGAAGAAGCGCTCCAGGCAAGCTTGACTCTCTCGCCCACAGAAGCTGGTCCCATAAAAGATACTACGTCACCCACCACGTCTCTGTATGCCTTCAGCTATCAGATTAAAGAGCTGTAAAGGGTTTAGGATAAGCATCATCATTAGCCATAACAAGACAGGCCAGCATGAATTTCCACGTGGGAGCAGGAGGATTTTCAGAAAGGGGAGCGGAGATCGGATTACCCCAGGGGATTGCAACTAGCCCGAGCAGTATCTCTTCCCTCACTTCCTGCCCTGCAGGCTGCAGTGGTTGAGCAAGGATGGCTTGAGAATCATGGCTAGTTCCAGGTGCCCAATTCATCATGATCAAACTTCCACCACTGCAGGCCTAGATCGTGGCTCTGTCCTGCACCCCACCCAGGGAGCACCCTGGGAGGCAGTCTCTCTCTCACCTTCACTTGAAGGAGGTGTGCCCTGCTCCTGGCAAAGTGTATCTTCCCTGGTAGGTATGGGGGAGGGGGAAATTGAGCCTTGGCTCCACCCATTCCTCATCCAGCCCCACCCATTCCCCTCCCACCTGCACAGGGGAGGAGGTAGCAGCTCAATAGAGACTATCTCTGTCTTGCAGAGCAGATAGCGGGGACGTAAAAATAAAGGGGCAGGGCACTTTACACCCCTGTGCAAGTCCTGCTGGGATCTGCCCCCCACCCCCACCCCCACACGTTGACACGTGTAAGTATAGACATTTAGCAGAAGTAGTTAGCCAACCCTCTAGGCTGTTTCCTGAGGCTGTCAGTGCTGCTCAGTGCCAGACGGGCTAGTCCTGCCAAGACCAGTGAGTCTTTGTGCATCTGAGACCAAAACTCCCTAGTTGCTTCTGCCAGTTTAAACCCATGTGTCTGTTTAGATGCAATCTCACTGTCTGGAAGCCAGGGCTGGGAATCTCAGGGACCTGCCTGTAGCCAGCTGCCTGCCATATATGGAGGATCATGAGACCTTTGCATCAAACAAAAGGATTCAAATGCTCCTCTCTTTGCTGCTTAGGGAAGCATGTCTGCTCATCATCCAGGAGCAAACAGGTCTCTGCCTAGCCCTTTGAGCAGGAGACCAGAGAACCTGTGACATCTTCCTCCCGGTACAGCCTCCTCTATGCTCACCCTACTGGGCATGCTGCACTAGCAGGGTACAGGGGGCTGGGTCTTCCTTGCCAATCTTGCACCCAGGGAGAATGGTTCAGAGCCGGGAGGGAAGACTTGCGCTGGTATGACTCACACTGAAGTATGGTGGCATCTGAGGCAGACACTGGAGACCAACACCAGGCAAGATCTTTGTCCAGGTGCTAATCCTGGCTAAAGGATGGATGGGACGAAGTACTATAACAGGGCATCACTAGCCAAGCGCTCACCTAGGGCCAGATTTTTAAATGTACTCAGGACCAGATTTACAAGTGCCACCGTGGGGGTGAGATTTTTCAAGCCAGCATCTGAATGAGAGGCCAGTTTCCAAACACAGCTTCCCACAAACCAAGCCTTTCTGAGAAGCCCAAACCGAATGCAGACCCACCCTCCACTGCTCTAGCATCCACTTAACGAGAGTCAGCCACTCACCAACTACAACTGGCAGCACCTTCATAGCCTTCCTCTCACGGCCATTGATCTTAGCCTGTTTCTGTTTGTGTCCTGGGTGAGAGTACTGGAGACGAGGGTAGGAGATAGTCTGGATGCCACTGCTCATCACGTACCCCCTGGGCAGAGAGCAATCGGAGGGGGTATACAGGTTGCACTCCTCCAGCTTGATCTCAGCCTGCCTCCTCTCCACGAGGGGAGGTGGGCAACAGCGCTTCCTGCCGCCTGCATAGATGCTGCTCTTCAGCTTGGCCTTCCTGGCTTCCTCCCACCGCTTGAGTCCCTGGAACATGGCACAGTAGAGGACCAGCATGACGGGACAGGGGATGAAGAAGGAGCAGATAGAGGAGTAGACGATGTAGTTGTTGTCCTCTAGCTGACACAAGGTGGGGTCCCTGTCTGGGACGTTGTTGAGGCCGAAGATGACCGGGGATGCCACGGCGAAGGCAAAGATCCAAGTGGTGGAGATGAGGATCAGCTGCCGCAGGTCAATCTGCTGCCGGTTGTAGTTCAGTGGGATGGAAACAGCGATGAACCTGCAATGCAGAGAAAACCAGGTCAAGTCTGGTAGCACGGAGCTGCCCGGAGCTGGCAGAGTGGTGCCAGCAGAGCTCGTCCTCGCCTCTCTCCTAGCACTGAGCAAGATACCTGTGCAGGGCTCGGATAGTCAGTGGAACAAGCAGTGTCCTCCCATGTCTAACCCTGGCCCCTGCTGAGATCCTGCTATTGGCCGGGACCCCTTTTCCTTTAGGTGTTCAGGAGAGCACCATCGGCCCAGGAGGCCATTCCCAGCAGTACCATTCCACCGATGTACCCAAGTCCTCACCAGCCACAGGGCATGGCACAAAGTGGACCAGCGGCCCAGAGCTAGCAGCACCAGCATCCGCCCCATCCAGCGCCTGCACGGCACGTCACATGAGGGCTTTGTGCTGCTGTCTCTACACCCATGCGCTACACTAGTGAGAATTCCCTTCTCATACGCAGGACTTCCGCTTCCCCTCGGGACAGGACAAATCCCATCCCATCCCTGGGTGAGTCTATGATTTGTGTCATGCAGGCGCTCAGGCTGGTTGGCTCCCCAGTGGTCCCCTCTGGCCTTAACATCCATTAGTTCTGCCATGTTTGGTGGCCAAAGGATGGGAGGGAAGCCAAAGACGACAGCTCATGCCCAGCCATTTGCCTGGGCGACATTCACTGCTTTGTTCCAGGGTAGCTGCTCCCTTAGGGTCTTCCCTGAGCCCACTCTGACACTCACCTCCTTCGCTCCCCCAGTCTCTAGCGAGGGAGGCTCCCTTCCTTCCCGGGCTGTCTCACCCTCTAGCAGACTGGCTGCTCAAACCCTAGGTGGTGAACTGCCTCTTTCCTCCTCACTCCCAAGAATATGGAGCATCATCCCCTCCTCTCCACTCAGTGCGTGCGCTCCTGATCTCGCTGCCACCTTCCACCATGCCATTGCTTTCCCGCCCGGCGTAGCCGGAGGAGGAGAACAGCCTGGCTCTCTGAAAAAAGGCTCTCGCAGTCGCTTTTTCCTCACCCCAACCTTATTTAGTTTGAGGGCCACTGACCCACAGAAAAATCAGCCGGGAGCTGGCCCCTGACTGAAAAGGAGAAAGAAACTCCCCACATTCCCCTCACACACCAGAGCCTAGGGGGGCCCAGGCTAGTAGATTTTGCATGCTCCAGCCATGCAGAGGGGCAGCAGGGGTGGGGAGGCTGGAGCCTCAGAGGAGGGGAGCCCTGAACCTCAGAGGCCAGATCCCGGGCCTTAGGTTCCCCACACTTGCTCTAATCACTACTAAGAGTTCCCACACATTGCTTCTTATTGCCCTAGAGAGAGAGCTGCCCTACAGGTCCCAGGTTGGGTTTCCCATACAGCAATGTCATTAACACACTCCCACCCACACGATCTGCTCCACATAGAATGCCTGGCCCGTGTGCTCCACCACCTGGGATTTTGGCATTCACCTCACCAAGACTCCCTCAATATAAAGCCTCTGCAGCATGGAGGGGATGCATTTCACTGTAGGCCCTCGAGCATATGCCAGATTATGGGTGTGGATGGAGCAGTCTGCTCTGACCCAGCAAAGCACCTCCTTGCCTCACCTCGGGTCCCAGACAGTGTCTGTCTTGTAGCCCGCTTGATTCCATGAGGCAGATGATGCATGTGCAACGAGCCACGGGTGTGTAAGACACTGGCCAGGGATTAACAGCCACACCTTGCAATGGGGATGTAGCAAATGTACCTTCTGACAGAGTTGTTAATCCTTAGTAAATAGGTTCTCAACTCATGTCCTGCTGACATGCCAGAGCTGACCTATTGAAATGTAAATTGCATGAGTGCCTTGGGCTGTAATTAAATCTTTCAGGGAGCTAGTCTGGTTATATGTGTGCTGCCCGAAGGAGCTCAGGTTGGTGTTTGGGGACCACAGAACAAAGAGGGAACAGAGCTTTGCAGAGCTCTGTGACCAAGTGATCACTTCTCAGCTGTTTCTTACACATCCCTTCACTGGCCCAGCTAACATATTTCTGTTCAGGAATCCACCACCACCTCCAAGCTCCCTAAAGGAACAATAGCACCTTAACAATAAACAGCCTTTTATGATGCAGCAATATCTTGCTGCTGCCACCCATTTCTCATTCCCACCTGCTATGCTGGGTTCTGCCCTGCTTATTGCAAAGTGACAGGCAGGAAAACCACATGGAGCCTCGCCACCACAGAACGGTCCACATTTGCCCATGGTGCTGGGCATAGTTGCTTTTCCAGCGTCCAAAACAAAGGAGGCATCCAACGGCTGTTGGTGGCCTGCGTGAAGCGGGTTTGGTACCTGTTCAGCTTGTAACCGCCTGTTTCTACACCACACCCATTTGTCCCTCCAAGCAGAGGAGCCAGGACTGCAGGGGGCTTTGAGATTTAATGTTCCTCTTGCCCCAGCTTGGTCCTCTTAGGTGGGAATTAGGGCAGACCTCTGGAATCCAGGTGGCTGAAGGATTATTCTAGACATCATTCACTCTCTCGAGCCAAACCCAGCAAACATCAGCTCTCAACAGCCTGGTTTCTGCCTTTGGCATCACTCACTATTGACTGCTCCCGCCTGACTTGGTAAAAGTGGTAAGCTTAAAAACTGATAAATGTGGAGCACATTCAGTACTAAGGTTGTTTGGAGAGGTGATGAGGTGAATCTCTGCCAGCACTGGAGCTGCGGGAAATAGTAAGTGCCAGAGGGACTTCCTTAGGGGGAATGGGGCTAAGGAATCCCTGCACGGGAATGAGGAAAACCACTGACCATCTGAGCTCAGCACCTCCATGTGGAAGGCAGATGGAAAAACATGCCCTCAGTGATTCCTAGGGGACAGGCTGTCAAACCCAGACAACAGACAGGCGGAGGGGGACTAAATAGCTGGGGGATGTACTTACCGATCCACGCTGATAGCACAGAGGTTGAAGATAGAGGCTGTGCACAGCATCACATCCATGGTCATCAGGGCATCACACAGACCTGTGCTTAAGGCCCACACTCCTCTCTGGAACTGCAGGCAAAAAGAGAGATGCAGTCAGTGCACATCAGACCCTGACGCCACACAGAGTTTTGCAAGTCATTACGAATAGATACGCTCGCGCTCCTTGCTAAAAACAGCTGTCGGGACATTGCAACTCAGGCAGAAGTTGAGAACTCTCAGACCTAGGGCACCAGATTGGCTCAGTCCTCTGTATTTAATAGTGATGTGTGCACCACACATGGGCTGTGTCTACATTGGCACCCTTTTCCGGAAAAGGGATGCTAATGAGACAAGGCGGAATTGCAAATCCGCAGGGGATTTAAGTATCCCCCGCGGCATTTGCTTGAACATGGCTGCCACTTTTTTCCGGCTCGGGGTTATGCCGGAGAAAAGCGCAGTTTAGATGCGATCTTTCGGAAAATAAACCCTTTTCCGGAAGATCTCTTATTCCTACAATTCTGTCTTTAAGCTTGTCTTTTTCCAGTTGCTCTGTAGCAACCAAGTAATGTTTTACCAAGAAGGTCGTCTTTGTTTTGTTACTAAAATAATCTTTTAAAGCCTATGATCTGTGTCCTAGAAGGCAGGAGGGTCCATATCCACATGCCTAAAACTGCAAGGTAAACTGTTATTAGAATGAACCGGTTTTTTTTGTTTTTTCCTTTTTCAAGCTCTCTCCTGAGAGAGGGATAAAGAGCTTGAGGGTACCCTGTAGGAAGGAATTCCAAAATGCACTTTCTTGGGCTCGCAAAGGGGTTTTTGCATTTGAGTGGTGGCAATGTACCATCCAAAGGCAGGGAATATATGACCTAGGAGAGTTCTGAAACAGAAGCTTTTAGTAGCAAGTTATTTTACAGTTTCTTGTGGGCCCCCACCTTCTGCATTCAACATGCCAGAGTGGGGAACAATCTTAACATCCCCCATAAAGACAATGTCCATGCAGGTGGCTTAGTCACACACTCTAGATTAAAGCTTTATTAACCCTTAATTTTTAGTCTGGCTGGAGGCATGTTAATGTTTCCAGGCAAAACACCACCCAGCACAAGAAATGAGAGACATGATAACTGCTGCTGATTGGAGTGGGGAGGAAACCCACCAGAAAGTCATTTTTCATCAGGAGCCATAACCACCCCTGAGCTCATGTGTTAACTCAGGAGACCAGGTCCCCACAGAACTACCAGGTAACCAATTCATCTGGAATGGGTTCCCTAGTTAATTCACAGATTGTGAATCCCCAAAAGTGATCCCTCTTTCACTTGGGCTAAGTATGAATGGTGTATTTGTAAACAACCATGCAGACAATTTACTGCTTGTTGCTACACAGTTATTTCACCCTGGCATCTCTGGCGGTGGCTATAATAGGTGGGAGAAGGCATTCCCTTCCCAAACCGCCAGCCTGGCCCCACTCATTCTCTGCCCCCAGAATGCCTACTGTAGAGCTACGTCTACACTGCAGGCTTCTTGCACAAGACCTTTTTGCGCCAGAGTTCTTGTGCAAAAGGTTTGCGCTAGAGCCCACCCACACTGCCATGTGCTTTTGCGCAAGAGCGTCCATGGCAGTGTGGACGCTCTCTTGCGCAAGAAAGCTCTGATGGCCATTTTAGCCATAGGGCTTTCTTGCGCAAGAAACCCCTGTTCCTGTCCACACTGCCTTCTTGCACAAGAGCTCTTATGCCTCTCGTGGGGAGAGGAACAACTCTTGCACAAGAAGCCCTCTCTTCTGATGCTTTACTGTAAATTCACTTGCGCAAGAACACGCATGGGCTGTGTCTAGACTGCATCCCTTTTCTGTAAAAGGGATGCAAATTAGACACATTGCAATTGCAAATGAAGCGGGGATAAATCCCCCGCTTCATTTGCATAAACATGGCTGCCGCTTTTTTCCAGCTCGGAGCTTTGCCGGAAAAAAGCACCAGTCTAGACGGGTATCTTTCGGAAAATAAAGCCTTTTCTAAGGAATAAGGGATCTTTCGGAAAAGGATTTATTTCCCGAAAGATCTCCGTCTAGACTGGTGCTTTTTTCCGGCAAAGCTCCGAGCCGGAAAAAAGCGGGAGCCATGTTTATGCAAATGAAGCAGGGGGGCTTTAAATCCATGCTTCATTTGCAATTGCAATGTGTCTAATTTGCATCCCTTTTACGGAAAAGGGATGCAGTGTAGACACAGCCATGCAGCGTAGATGCTCAGGAAGTTTTTGCGCAAGAATGACTGTTCTTGTGCAAAAAGCCTGCAGTGTAGCTGTAGCCCCAGTGTACTTGGGGCAGAATGTAGCTACACCGAAGTGTCTGGCCTCCCTGTGCTCCGGGGCCGGGGAGGCTGGGGCTGCATGCCACCCGCCCACCCATGCTCTGAGGCTGGACGGGCTCAGGCTGTGTACTGCCTGCCCTTCCTTGGGGGCTGAGAAGAGGGGTGGCTTGGCTCCTGTGGGCTGGGGGTGGGGGGGCTAGAGAGATAGGATGGGGCTGGGGTGGAGCTGGGGGATTGCTTCCCCTGTCCCAACCTTCACTCACAGCCCAGACTTGCTGCACTGTAACAAGCAAACCCCTGGGAGTACGCTCAAGCAGTTCCAGCTTTAGGGAAATGAAATGAATAACATGGTATCTCTTGGCACAGTTGCAGCCACCTGTCCTAGAGCAGGACAGGGAAAAGTGCCAGCAGCAATTTTCATTCCAGAACTTTGTCACATTTTCCTAGCACAGGTTGGCTGGACGGCAAACTTTGCAGAGTATATACCCCACAATGGGCCTTCCCCCAGGAGTTGAGCTGGTCAGGTTGCAGAAGGTATTTACAGAAAATGCATCTGTTCTGAACCGCAGAAAGGGAAGACCATGTCTTTAATTTCTTTATAAAATCATTTCTCTAGTATTTAACCAGCTTTAAGCAACCAACTGACAATCACTTACACAGATGGGCGGGCTTGATGGAAAGGAGACATTCAAGGCACTTCTGCCCAGCTTGTCTGGACATGAGCAGTGCAGGGACTTGGCTTTGTAATGAGCTGATGAAGAGGAAGTTCTAGGCTTACAATGGCTAACACATTACTAGGAATAATAACTTTCCTAGGAATTAATTTGCAAAGCAAATTCTCTAGTCGCATAGTTGGTCTCTACTAGCAATTTGCATCAATATAACTATGTCATTCTGGGTTGTGGCTACCAACCTAACGCCTCACCTAGGTCAGTGAGAAGTCTTATCCTCTCACATAGCTGTTGTCTGTTGCAGAGGTGGACTACCAGCAGAGTGGGAGAAGCCCTCCTGTCAGCCTAAGTAGCATCTTCACCGAAGTACAGAAATTGTTTACGTGTAGACAAGCCCTCAGTTTTTGGACAAGTTCCTAGCTAACAGAACCAATGTCCCATCACACACAACACTAAGAAGGTTCAAAATAACCAATATTGTTTGCTAAGCGATTGGGTTACAATATGCTTCTAAAATGAGCATTTCTGCCATTTATGAGGCTCTTTTGACCTTTCTGTAATATAAAAGTACTTTCTGTTTAACAAATAACATTAGCTGTAATCACTGCATCAGGGTCATGTAGGCTACGTCTGATGAAGAGAGCTTCCGGAAAAGCTTATTTCGAAAGAGCACGTCCACACACAAAAAGTGCAACAAAATAGCGATGTGCTATTGCGAAAGAGAGTGTCCACACTGATTGGACGTTATCTCGCATTTAAGGCCACCTGGAACCAGTTCAGGCAGGGCATTAGGTCAGCAGTTGCTTCCGGGTGCTGCTGCCTAAGGCTAGCTAAGCCGCGCTTAAAGGCCCCCTTCCAATCCACCCCCTGGACAGCCATTTATCAGCATCTTCTGCTTGCTTGCCTACCTCTCCACGGGACAGCAAAGCATGTGCAATGTGTGCTCTGGTTGCCTTGCTTCAGGACCCCACCGCACTCTTGGCCATGGAGCCGGAGCTGCTTCTAGGCATGCAATGGCCCCACAATGCCACACTGCAGTTTCTGCAGGCTGCCTTCCTGGTCCTGCAGGAGCTTGCCTCAGAGCTCATTGTTGAAACCCACTGCCTGTGTGCGGGAGCAAGGCCCTTCTGACCGCACCCCACGGTGGAGAGAAGGTTCGGGAGGCTGGACGCCAGTTCCAACAGGTGGGGCCGGCTGGTGATGGAGGGTTGCCAACCGTCAGTAAATTTACGGACAGTCTGTAAAAAGTTAGCCAAAACTGGACATGTCCGTAGAAAAATGTAGGTATCCGTAAATTTCATAAAAGTGCAATGAATTTAAAAAAACCCAGTAATTATTCTATAGCAATTAAATTTCTTCTGTGCTGCTTCAGCCATTTTACTGCAGAGCAGCAGAAATAGGATGTTTTAGTTTAGTTGTCAGTGTTTGGATGTACGATCACAAAATGGAAAACTTCCAGGACCATAACTAACTAAATGAAAGTGAATTAAATAGCATCTTGTTCTTGTGATGTATGAATGACAATGATTACTTTTCACTTTTGGCCATTTAGGTCGTCTTAATATGCATAAAATGTATGTCCATAAAAAAATGTCTCTGTCTGTAAATTTTTCCCATTTTATCGGTAAATGAAATTTCTGTGGGTTGGCAACCCCAACAGTGGCTCGAGAACTTCCCTATGAGGAAGGCGATGTTCATGGAGCTGTCTGCCTGGCTCACCCCTGCCTTCTGATGACGGGACACCCACATGCAACCCACCACCCTCCTAGAGAAGTGGGTCGCCATTATCAGAAACTCCAACCTGTACCAGAAGCTGGAGACTGGCATGTTCTTTCCCCAGTGTGACTTCAGGGTTGGGGACGTGCAGATGCCATTGTGCATTGTGGGGGATGTGGCCTAACCCCTCATGAAGCCCTACACCGGCCACCTGGACCAGAGCAGGGACTGTTTCATCCAGATCCAATGCGCCTTCAGCCGCTTGAAGGTGAGTTTCAGGTGCCTTCTGACCCGCCTGGATGTGGGGGAACACAACATCCCCCAAGTGGTCTCGGCCTGTTGAGTTCTCCACAATATTGTGGAAAGCAAGCAGGAGGCCTTCCTTCCGGGATGGGTGGCA